AAGTCACTATGTGGAGGCCAAAGCAACTCCATGTTGGATGCTAATCTGCCATGTTGACTTCAGATTAACCTCTGCTCTGGGAAGGCCATTAAGATTTCCAGTTTGTCTAGTATTCCGTGTGTAAGAGCACATACTTACTGTAAATCCTGCCCTTAAGTCAAAACAGCTTTGCTCTTATCATACTTTAATTGTCTTACACATCACTTCTGAATCATACATACCCTTTCCCTGTGGTATATCAGCCCTGGGTCTTCGGGGTAATGGTGCGGGGATCTACCATCTCATCTCTCCACCACCAGACACTAACATGGCTTCTGTTTGTAAGTCCCTATTAAATATTACTTTATGTTTTTGTTGTTTGTTTTGTTTTGTTTTGTTTTTTTAAGACAGAGTTTTTCTCTTGTTGTCCAAGCTGGAGTGCAATGGTGCGATCTCGGCTCACTGCAACCTTTGTTCCCAAGTTCAAGCAATTCTCCTGCCTTAGCCTCCCAAGTAGCTGGGACCACAGGCATGTGCTACTTTTTGGTATTTTTAGTAGAGACGGGATTTCTCCATGTTAGTCAGGCTGGTCTCAAACTCCCAAGCTCAGGTGATCTGCCCGCCTCGGCCCCCCAAAGTGCTGGGATTACAGGCATGAGCCACCGTGCCCAGCCACTTTCTAAGAGAGAGGATTTGTCAGCCGCTTTCTTCCGCCGCTCAGGTTCATTGTACTTTGGGGGTAGGCTTGCAGAGATTTGCCCACCATGGAACAACTATGAATTTTTTCTGAAAGAATGGTGGTGTTATAGTTGTGGAATACCATAGTCATATTACATTCAAGGAGTGGCAGCTCATGCTGTATTTCAGATGTAATTTCATTCCTTCCTATAGGCTGGTGAGGCCAGAAGACATTGGAGTTACATCATTGTGCATTTTGTTGGCGTAGGAGAGGGTAATATTTGTGATTCTTGGGGTTTCAGCATGAAACTGAGAAAGGGAAGCTCAGTGAAGAGGAGAACAATGGTAGAGCAGACACATTATTTTTTGAAGTTGGACCAGCCTGAAATAAGTACAGATTTCTGGGCCACCAATGACTGTCCATGGCACAGATCCAAGCATACCAGTCAGAAAGCAGCCACTTCCCAGGGAGCATCATGTAGCTTTTAGACTCCAGGGACACCACAAGCCACTGTCAGGTGAGAGGTGCAATTCACACAACCCAGCACAGAGGCGCCCTCTTTATTTCTCAAAGTTTTGGGAGAACCCAAGGCCCATGGCCTTTATTTTAGGGACTGTTTAATCGGCTTCACAGAGAGACTACGTAATTGACCCAGGTCTTTTAAGCTCTTAGCATCAGCCAAGATCCTGTAACACAGGCAGATTTAGCTCTTTTGTTCTTATTTCTATACTTAATATAAATGTATATTACATTTTTGCAAAGATTTAGCTTTTGGCTAAAGTCAGCCTTTGGCCACAGCAGTTGATCAGCAGGGAAACAGAAGGAGAAGAGGGATTTTCACACTTAGCA